ACCAGGAGGGATGATATATGAGTATAAATTCAGGTCAGTTCGCTCATCGAGACGAATTCACATCATCTTCCACGAGAGACGACGCAGGGGTTGATCTGATCGGGTATACTGCTGACGTTGGGGACGCTATACCCCGTTACTAACAATTCCTTACACCTCAGACATGTTAGGTTAGATTATTTACTAAGCTTTTTATTGAATTTACTTGCCAAATGTAAAAAAAAAAAGGAAACAGATTATACGAGAATCTAATTTAGGTAACGTTTGCTCGCATTTAAAGTAATATTTGAATTGGAGTCCGTTCCAACATTTAGTATTCATATCATTTAGTGTTTTTAGGAGATACTAAGAAAACGAAGCATTCAGATTCAAAAGCAGTATTATTTTATTGCACTATATTAAAGTTAAAATACATGAGACTTCAATGCGATCGTCTATTTTCAACATTTGGGGATAGCTTTATATCCTTTTTGTAAGTTTCACATTAAATCTATTCTAGTAATTTAAACTTGATAATGTAAAAAAATATATAGATTGAGCAAATATTTAATCTATTTTTTTTTGTCATAAACATTTGTTTATGACTGGACACTTGGCATTATATTATTTCCAATAGTTATTATATGATTAAAAAAATACATGTATAAATATCAAATTCATTCAAATTTGTATTCGTAATATCACATATTAAGTAGAATTCTGTATGAAACAACCTAAATAGCTTTCTTGTAAAGATTATGAAATCTTAATTGAAACTTAATTCCACAGCAGAGTGTGTTAATTTTCTGAACCTCTTCAAGCCATTCGTTGATCATAAAATCAAATTGGCAGTTCCACATTCGAGAATTGCATAAGTTTAAGAACTCGATAAACTTAACAACATAAGTTACGAAAGGTAATTTATTATTTTGTTAATTAAACTACTTGTTTTCGATGACAGACGTCTTATTTTAACATTACATTCATTATTTATTTCTGCCTCGTTTAGCGCTCGTGAAAATGTTGTTAAGTTTTGTAAGTAATTATTTAATAATATATCTATTCATTTGTTTATTTATATGAAAATATTATATTATTTACACTAATATAATAAAGTGGAAGGTTTTGTTCAACTTTTAGTTTGATTTTGATATTTTTTCGTTGATTTATATATGTACATATATATATATATATATATATATATATAATTTTATATAACCTAGATATATATTTAAAGATAAAAAATTTATTTTGAGATCAATAATAATAATCTCATAATAATAATAATAATTTTTATATACTGTCATGTCTTTCGCCTTTTTCTATATAATAATATATAAATATATATTATATATTTCTATATAAATTATATATATATATATAACTTATTTTAATTTATGAAAAATTTTCCGTCAGTAATATACAAGAAAATTAACAAAATACTACTTACAAAACAAATATAAAAACTTACGAGCGATCAATAGCTACAAAACAATAACGTTCAAACATTTTCTTTCACACAATTTCATACATTCGATACAATTTCATTTATATAGATCATTAAATTGCACCCTCAACTTCGTCCACGTGACCAGGATATGTTTACTGATCAAGACAAAGTCTATATCCTTTTCCATCCCATACACGTATAGTACGTGTGCCTATACCAAATTTCATAGTGATTGGTTAAGCCGTGAAGACGCTGTAAGGTAACAAACAAACTCACTTACATATTTATAATAGAGTAAAGATATCTACTCAGGTCATCGTCACTTTGTACCTTCATCAATAGACATAATAATTAACGGAAGGTATTTAACCTGGCGTGAACGATGACACTAACTCAGCAGGGTATGACAAGCTATTAGCCGTCTGGTGGACTGTAGTGTATCGATCGAATCGATTCCACGGGAACTTGACATTCATTGGGGAAATTCAAGCGTGAAATGTATTAGTAGCCGACTTAAGAAAATGAGGTAACTTATTGGTCGGTATTTTGTAATTTTTTTTTGAGGTTAGATTTTGTACTTAATCTAAATATTTTTGTGTACAATATGGCATAAGAATGTTTTTTTATACCACTGAGGTGGCAAACAAGCATACGGCCCACCTGATGGTAAGTGGTTACCGTAGCCTATGAACGCCTGCAATACCAGGGGTAATACGCGCGCGTTGCCGACCCTGAAGAAACCTCTTTACCCCCTTTTTGAAGAATGGGATATATGAAAATATAAGTAAGTTTCTTAATTTTAAATGTACCTCTAAAATGAAGTTTTTATTCTTTATATTTGTATACATTTTGTTTTGTATGTATTTTATTTGTTTCATCACTTGATAATAAGGACATCACCCACCCACCCACTCACCCTACCCACCAAACTGTTTATAATTACTCCTCTCCATCCAAAAGTTGCCTGGAAGAGATCGCTCTTAGCGATAAGGTCGCCCATTGTTTTCTCATTGTGATTATTTCTTGTAATTGTTTATATTTATAGTAAGTTTACTATTGTAATCTTTTGGAGGAAACAATAAAGAGTATCTATCTATCTATCTATCTATCACCCACATGACGTATAGATATTTAATTATTGTAAATTTAATTATCTATTTATTTTACACCATTAATAATAAATTAAGGATAAATTCAAAGTACCTACGTCCTTGTATTTTTAATAAATGAAGCAATGGAAGAATGTTTACCAGAACACTATAAATATAGACGAAATTGAATAAACAAATTACCTCTATATTTGGTTTTCCTGTAATATTTAATTAATTAAAATATACTTAGTTTCCAGTTATCCATTGAATACCACAGATAAATGTTTAATAATACAGAACAAATAATTTTAGATTTCGGTCGCAAAAAAACAATAACAAAATTACATAATTATTAGTTAAAATAATACAGGATTCAGGGGGAAAGGGATTGTTAGTAATGGAGACTGAGAATCCCATTGCTAGCAATATACCCAACCAGGTCGACCTCCTCGCAGTTCTCCCTGGAAACTATCATGGTTAATTCCTGATGAATTCATCATGATGGGCTAACTGGCCTGTTTCCATTCTCATCTATCACCCTTCACTGGTGCTCCGCAAGCGTATACCGTTAGCGCAGGCGGGGTTACCATACCATTTTCACCCATCAAAATAAAAAAAAAATACTGACTTGGCAGATACAGTGTGAAAGAGTCAAAACTCTAAGAAGCTTCAAATTATTGATATCATTCTATATATCTGTAACAAAGTTCCACATAGTTTGAGTTTAATAATATCAATAGATATATACGTATATATATAATATATTGATATATACTATACTTTGGTCAACGCATTTCCATTGCTATTCAGCGTGGAAATGCAGCAAGTATCCTAGGCACCCTACCGGCTGGCAGTGATCTCACAGAAATTTTTTATCTTTAAATAATTTTAAAAATTTTTAATAACTTTTTCTTGTTATTTGTAAATAAATATTTAGGATAATATTTCAACTAGTAATGTAAAATTTTTTACAATTAATATATTGATATATAAATATATATAATAATAAATAATAATATAAAGAACAGAGTTGGCTAAGCAAGCTGCCCTCTCTCTTGCATTAAAACTACTCAATGATACTTTGAGCCGGTATCCGCAATAAAAGCTGAAATAAATCATTCTGTTCCTTATATAATAGTATCGTGCCCATTTCCCGTTTCAGCGAAATGGGCAAACTTATAACAACCTTGAAAGTCGTGGAATTGCCAAAAACAACAATTTATCACGTGACCTACTGAAACCATTTCAGAGAGACCATTAACTTAATGTTATACTTTCAGTTATAATGGTGTTTCTATGACTGAAAGCTATGAATTAGATCTGAACCAGATACAAAAATACCATTCTTTAAAAATAAAAGATAATATTGAGATATTGATGTATAAAGTTACGCTTTATCTTATTTCTATTAGTTAGTTATTTATTTAATAAAAAGAGACAACTTCTCTGCAAAAAAAAAAAAAAGAATTATGTCTAATGTCACTAGGGATGATATATGGTTTATAATACCAATTTTAACATACGTCCTAATCTCTTCAGACAGATAAATGTATGGTGGAATATGGTAACTCACATACCCTAAACCAAAATCCTAAAACTATTACATTCCTTTTTTGGATGGTCGTGTAAAAAGTAAATTAACTAATTTCATTTATCAATATATTTTATTATAATTGTTTTCTCAATGTGTATATTGTTAACTGTGAACACTATTCATAATCTGTGACTTGTTACATAGACTAAGTATGTATTATTTTATGGTAGATTGTATTTTTTTAAAAACTCTCTGGTTCCTGCTTTGTAACATGGTCAGCGGAATAAAGTTTGCTCTGCGTAATTACCGGGTTTAATTAAGATTATCCCATAAAGTAACTGCTAAAACGTACATATATTTCTTGGAATTGTTTGTATCTATTTATAATAAGTTTACTATTGTAATCTTTTGTAGGAAACAATAAAGAGTATCTATCTATCTATATTTTTTTTTTTTTATAAAGGAACTTTAAAAACTTTTTATGTTTTCACGTTATTCTTATAGCAGGGTCTTAGATAAAAAAAAATATTATTACATAACGATTAATTAATTATCTTTGGAAAAATTATCTTAATTAAATATAAAAATAAATAATAATAGCAATAATACACGTCAGTTATAATGCATAGTGAGTTTAAGATCTAGAACATTCTTATCGTTAGGTCATTTCATCCAATTATAAATTTAAAAGTTTATATATATTGTGTTTTGATTAAATTAATGCAAATTTTAATAAATTAGTTCAAAGTTCTTTACATTATACATAATGAAGAATAATTGTTTACTTTCAAAACAATTTTAATACTGTTTTCAAAATTTTTTTGGAAATCAGTCTTCCTTGACGTAAAAGTTTTCGAACTTCAATTTTTTTTGTGTAAAACGAATACTCCTACTTACATATTTTTATTTTAGAATTATCTAGAAAAAAAATAACAAAACGACTTACCATTTTGTGTGTGAGGTTGTATAAATTGTAAATAGAAGCGAGTTTGGCGTGGCGAGTTCGCGAGGCAACGCACCGAGCCGGACTGTACGGCCGACGCGGAGTCGTCTGCTTTTATAATGCCCTGTAATGGCAACCCGCGCCGGGACTATTCTGTATACACGCCGTCGAGCTTTACTTGTACAATAGCTTTTATACAGTATGAACCGAAATTGTTTTTATACAGTATGAATCGAAATTCTTGTAAGGGAGCGATTTTATAATGAAACTGAACATTTTCCCCAAATAGAAACGAGTCGAAAGAGGACAAAAAACTTCTGGCTTACTCATATACAGCAAACAGTATGGAAAAATAAAACAAAATAAAATATTTCGATTCGTGATTCTTTGTGAGAAAACTTTAAGTTTTTTGTCACTTTTTTTTAAATGACGTTAATCATTTCGATGTCACACTGTATAAACACTAGACTAAATACAATTATATTTAATTAGATAACTTTCAAGATGGAACTTGTGGGATGCTGAATCACAAAGCAACATGTCTAATGACTTTCAAAAGTATAGCTGTATAATATAATAGTTGATATCATCTATTATATTATTCAGCTACTCTGCTAGATCGAACTCCACGTGATTCTATCTGGAAACCATCATGGTTAGTTCTTGTTGAATTCATCACGATTCTTGTTGAATTCATCACGATGGCTTAGTTGATTTGACTGCATTCTCATCTGTCATCACAAGGGAAGTGCCCTGAAAGTGAGGAGATTACGACAAACGGCGTCTTTTTTGCACTATTTTGTTCGGAGGTACCCCGCCACCGTTATCCGATAACGCTGGCAGGGTAACCATTTCATTTCGATGTTTTAAAAAAAATACTACTATCTATAAAGTTGGCCATCAATTTATTTGCCAAACCAAGTTACATAAAAAGAATTCCATCATTTGAACATTTTAAGAAAAGGCAAAGATTAAAACATATTTATTTATGTATTCATTTATTATTACATTACTATTATAAAGATTTATACTACATAGACAAATATGGTACAAAATTGACAAATATATACCTTTTTTTTACACTGTAATGGTAGCGAGAGAGATAAACATCCTAATAAGACAGGACTAGAGGTTTTACATCGCTGAGAAACTCTTTTACTTTTACTAGATTTTGTAGAAGCTCTTTTAATAATATATAATAATATAAATATACTTTATTATTTAGACTACAATTTGGTCCATTTTGTTAGTAACAATTTTCTTACAAACTATGTTAGTAAAAAAAGAAAAGCTAACTAATTTACCAAAACATATTTTTATTTTTCATACATGATGACAGGTCATTTTAAATTAATAAAGACATTGACTTAAGGCCGGAAGTATGTAGTATTAAATTGGATTTTAAATTGACCAAGTTTTTTTTTTATAACGCGAGATTTAAAGATCTAAGTTTACTAAATTAAATTGATACTATGAATCATATAGTATGCTCATTTAATAAAAGCCATAAAGTCCGTGTAATACGATTTGTATTCACACTTTATCGTTTATTAGACATCGTATCAGAATAAGCACGTTGACTCACGTCGCCAGACGGTAGTGTGTCCATGCGGAGCTTAATTTTTGGTTGGCGTATTGGTTTAAATCTTTTAACTGTACCTACTTAATTGAAACTAATAACCATTAGTTAATTTAACTTAGTCCTTGATCACCATAAATTAAGTGAATTGTGAAGTAGATATATTTAAATTAAATCGTTTTTTCACTCCAAATAGATCCGTTTCCGTTTTAGACTTTATTTATTTATTTAATTCTTTATTGTACACACTAGTTATAAGAGTTTTTTTTTTAAACCACTGAGGTGGCAAACAAGCATACGGCCCACCTGATGGTAAACGGTTACCGTAGCCTATGAACACCTGCAATACCAGAGGCATTACGCGTGCGTTGCTGACCCTGAAGAAACCTCTTTAAAAGAGTATGACAGAGTACAGTCAAAAGTACAAAGGCGAGCTTAACTCTAAATAACATAATTATAATAATAGAGTACATAATGTAAGCATAATAATTAAAATAAAAAGTTTTTTTTATATACTACTAGTCACGTGACCGGGATATGTTTTATTTACTGGGTACAGAGGAATAATACCTGAGTCCTCAGAAATGGCAACGCATGGGGGGTATTATGGGCGAAACAGTGTACTCTGTTATGTCCATGGTACTGCTCATGTCTATAGGCGACGGTTACCACTTTCCATCAGGTGGACCGTCGGCTTGTTTGCCATTCTATGTTGTATAAAAAAAAATGTTTACTCACTGGGATAAAATGTAGTCTATATTCCATATACTACATTTTATAATAAGCCCATAAGGTAACAAACAAACATACTTTCACATTTATAATATTAGTAAGGACTTAGAAAATAATGGTCGCCCTACACGAGGGGATGAGATGAATGCATTTAGGTATGGAGGGGTTGGGAATGACCGGGAAACCTTGACCCTTTGCTGTTTTGGGTGTTTATTTATTTATTTATTTATTCATTAGTACAAATATGTGTACATGGCGGACTTAATGCTGCATTCTCTCCCAGTCAACCATGGAAGTGTCAGAATACTCGAATGCGGTACTACTAATTATTAATATACATACGTATTAAAATTACATATATAAACGAATAAATATATATAAATAACAAATATACTTACACATATATGACATATACTATATTATACACGAAATTGAGAATAATATAAAGTACTTACTGCTCGGATAAAAATAAAAAGTGTGCGTTAACGCTTTTTTTGAAAGACGGTTTAGTCGGTAGTCTCTTAATGGCATCAGGAAGCGCGTTCCAGAGTCGTGAAGAAGTCGTGTTCAACTATGTTTACAAATAAATCTACTACTAATTTTAATACAAAATTTAGAGTTCGTCTAATTAAACTTTATAAAGAAACTAACGATTCGCCCCGGCTACGTACTGTTTTTTTTTTTGTATAAAATATAGTCCATGTTACTCTAGCTTTCTTTAGGTGAAAGGATTTTAATATCAGTTATTTAGTATTATTTGAGATAATTTATTATAAATAAAGATTAAACCTTACCTCTTTATATTTATTTATTATTTTTGAGGGAAGCTTACAGCTGTAATAAGTCAATAATTAACTATGTTATACATGACAACAATATACTAAAAGCTACCACATTATAATGAATGAATAAATTACTTACTGCTTAGATAAATAAATAACATAAGTTTAGAATAAGTCATGACTTGAAGCTTCGAGTTTAAAGTTTTTTAACTCATATTAAAAGAAAAATATAATCACGAGTCCAATGCACATTATTAAATTTGGTACAAATCATTTGACTAAATTGACTTTTTGCTCCAAATATTGAATTGGTGTATTCCTAAAGTTTGTCTTATTTGTTGGTCAATTTGTTTCATTAGAACGTTTTTCACAAATTTGTTTGATTTATCTAGAATACATTTCGCCGTGTAGGTCCCAGCATGGAATGGCCACCCCTTCCTTTCCCGTGGGCGTCGTAAGAGCCGACTAAGGTATAGAGACTAAGGAAAAGGTAAAAGGGAGAGATGGGCAGCAGCGTGCCTCTTAAAACATCTGTAAAAGCCTAACTGCGGTCGCCAACCCGCCTGCCAAGAGTGGCAACTACTGGCAAAACTCCCCTTATGGAGAAGGCTAATGTTCAGCAGTGGACGGTTAACGGCTGAAACAAAAAAGCATTTTTCAACATAACTGCAGTGACATTTGAAAAGCTGGCACACGCCCAAAGGTTAAACATGAGACAGTCGACATGGTACTATCTTGCTTAGGTATAGTAAAGTCCAAAACAAACAGCAGACTCGTGAACGTGATTACTTACACAGATAGGCACAATATGAATTTGAGAAATATACCTAAATTTCATGTACAATATTAACTCTCATGATTTTCAGAGTTTATTGCTAGCAATATATGAGTAAGTATAGATTGTCTACAATAACTTTGCACGCCTTTCCAAAATCCAAAAAAATAATAATGTAATAATATTAACAAGGTTTCGACCAAGGAATATATACTCCTCTGATCTAATCGCTACTGAAGACGTCTCCTTACAAACACAAATAGAGCATCACGTCTGTGTATGATCACACACATTGAAATAAGTAGTTGGAGGGGCGTGCCATGTTAACGTAGACAATCTATACTCTGTCAGGTCGACCGTGACGTCTATACGCGAATTTGTTAAGTAATACGTCCTATCATATCGACCTCCAGATCCCCCTGGATACTATCATAGTAAAATCCTGGTGAATTTGTCTTCGCTTCAATCCTTAGCTATCAACCCTCACTGATACCCTATCAGTCTGAGGGGAAAAGGATTGTTAGTAATATTCCCGACCCCAGGAAACCGTTATGGTCAATCCTTGTCAAATTCATTATAATGGGTTAACTGGGCTGTTTTCATCCTCACCTATCATCCCTCACTCTTGCCCTGACAGTACATACCGTTTTTTTTATGGGTGAAAATGGTATGGTAACCCCGCCTGCGCTAACGGGATACGCTGGCGGAGCACCAGCGAAGAGTGATAGATGAGAATGAAAACAGGCCAGTTAGCCCATAATGATGAATTCATTATAGTTTCCAGGGGGAACCGCGAGGAGGTCGACCTAGTTGGGTATATTGCTAGCAATGGGATTGTCAGTTTCCATTACTAACGATCCCTTTTCCCCCTAGTACATACCGTTAACACAGGCGAGGTTACCAATCCATTATCAGACAAAGAAGTATAAAGTACCAAGAACAAGAACGACCCTTGTAGTGTCAATAAGCAATAAACAAGCCCGCCAATTGCTCTTTACTGCACGTGTCGTGTTCGATATTTGAAATAAATGCAATGATCGTCTTCATTGGGCAGCCATTATTGAAAAGGCTATAATCATTATTTGCTCTGTTGGAATTTTTTTTTCTTTTTTTTGTTTTATACAACTTAGAATGCCAAACAAGCTGACGACCCACATGATGGAAAGTGGTAACCGTCGCCTATAGACATGAGCAGTATCATGGACATAACAAAGTATACTATTTCGGCCTAACACCCCCCATGCGTTGACATTCCTAAGGCCTTAGGTGTTATTCCTCCTTACCTTGTAAATTCACGCCATATCCCACCCTTCAAATCGAAACACAGCCATGCAAATACAACTGCTTCGACTCTGGAACGCGCTTCCTGATGCCATTAAGAGACTACCGACTAAACCGTCTTTCAAAAAAAGCGTTCACGCTTACTTTTTATCTTTATCCGAGCAGTAATTGCTTTATATTATTCCCAATTTCGTGTATAATATAGTATATATAATATATATGTAAGTATATTTGTTATTCATATATATTTATTCGTTTATATATGTAATTTTAGTATGTATGTATATCAATAATTAGTAGTACCGCATTCGAGTATTCTGACACTTCCCTATGGTTGACTGGGAGAGAATGCTTTTAGCATTAAGTCCGCCATGTACACATATTTGTACTAATGAATAAATAAATAAATAAATAAATAAATATACTTATGTTATGTTCATGGAACGTGCCCTAAGTTACGTAACCATATGACAGCCTTTTAAGCATAAAAAATGTTTATGACCAAGCAATATTACTGTACATGCTGCACGTCTCTGGAATTCACTTCCTAATAACTTAAAGATGGCACAATCGCTGAAATCTTTTAAAGCAGGTATCATAAAATTTTATTTTGAAAATCCCTCTTCATTGAGCCAATTGTGAATATATGTTATTTATTATGTATACATGTATGTGTATGTAGGAGTGTATATATATATATATATATATATATATATATATGTATATATATGTGTATGTGTATAAGTTTTTATTTATTTATGTATTAATGTTATATTATTATTCATTTACTTTTATTATTTACATATGTAGGTATATAGAGCTGTTTTTATTGTGTTATATATTCAATTTTTTTTTACTGGGTATTATTTAGTTTATCTTTAATTGTATGGTTATTACCCTTATACAATCTACAGTTTTCTTTCAGCTTCTCAAAGGTTGACTGTAAGAGATCCCTTTATGGGATAAGTCCGCCATTGTATACTAAATCAATTACTAGTATTTAATCTGAGTTATGTACAATAAATATTTTTACAATTTTACAATATCAATGTTATTTCCTAATTTCATTGTCGGGTAACGTACGCGCCAGACGGTTTAGGCTCGGTACGGGCGAGGCGGGACACGGCGCGTAACTCGCATGACTCCTGTCCATCAATGTCATGGTTACTAAAATATTGCCCACCGAACACTATAAATATAAAACATGCACCATAATACAGACGGTGTCTAGCCATTGCCAATTACGTAGGCCCGGCTTTTGTATTGTTTGCTGCAACTTAGTTGCGACTAGCCATGTCATTGCTGGCGCCAAAAATAACTTCCCAGATACTGTAAAATTGAATAATACCAATAGCTTTTTTTTTTCAGCACACGATTGCAAATTCTAGTTGAGATATTCGTTTTTTTTACAACACAGGGGGCAAACGAGCATACGGCTCACCTGATGGTAAGTGACTACCGCCGCCTGTGATCGCCCACAACACCAACGGCATAGCAGGTGTGCTGCCGGCCTTTTAAAAAGGAATTTGTATATATACTATGAATATATAATATATTCCATCAAAAATCACGTGTTTATTATCATCACTATTCTATCAGATGTTTTTTGTCCACTGCTGGACATAGGCCTCCCCCATAAGGGGGGTTTTGCCAGTAATTATCACGTTTAGCAGGCAGACAACAGTTGATAGGCTTCGGTGACGTTTTATAAGGGACGCTACTGCCCATCCCTCGACGATTAAGATTCCTTAGTTGCCTACTACGACATCCATGGGAGAGGAAGGGGTGGCCCATTCTATGTTGGGGCACACACGACGCCATACAGTGATGACCTTTGTCGATTACAATAAACAAATGATACAGCGCCTGTTGTTAAAGTAAAACACAGAGAAAAACTATTGCTATACAATTATATAAGGCGTTAGATTTTTATAGATGTTGGCAATACATAGTATTATATTATGTGTGTACAAGTACCATTAAACCTATTTTTTTTTGGTGGATGAAAATGGTGTGGTAACCCCGCCTGCGCTAACGGGACACGCTGGCGGAGCACCAGTGAAGGGTGATAGATGAGAATGAAAACAGGCCAGTTAGCCCATCATGATGAATTTGTTTATAATTAATCATGATAGTTTCCAGGGGGAACCGCGAGGAGGTCGACCTGGTTGGGTATATTGCTAGCAATGGTATTCTTAGTCTCCATTACTAACAATTCCTTTCCCCCCAAATTAAACCTATTTAAAATGTCTATACATAGCTATAATTTTTTTTTATTCTAAAATCTATATAGTTTTTTTTTAACCTAATAAAAATTGATTAGATTAAAAAATTAACAATTTTTATTTTAATGGATGATAATGGAATGGTTACCGCGCCTGCGCTATCGGTATACACCGGCGGGGCACCAGTGAGGGGTGATTCGTGAGGGTGAAAGCAGGCCAGTTAGCCCATCGTGACGAATTTCACAAGAATTAACAACGATGGTTTCCAGGGAGAACCACGTGGAGGTCGACCTGATAGGGTATATTGTTAGTAATGGGGCTGTTAGATCCCATTACTAACAATCCCTTCCCCCTAAATTAACAATTAGAGTAAGAATAGTCATGTCGGTTCCGGTATAGAATAGGGCACCCCTTCCATTCCTGTGGGTGTCGTAGGGGGCGACTAAGGGAACTATATTGTTGAGGGATGTACAGCAGCGTCCCTCTTAAAACATCACCAAAAGCCTAACTGCGGTTGCCAACCCGCCTGCTAAGCGTGGCAACTAATGGCAAAACCTCTCTAATAGGGGAAGATCTATACAGTGGGTATATATTACTAGTGGTCAGCTAATGGCTGATATGGTGATGATGATGAAGAGTGAATATATGTATTTTTCATTACTTTGTTTTATTTCCAAGACCATAATAGTCGATTGAGGGACCAGCTGTTCGGTTTCATTGATACTATTAGTGGGTATATGGATTTATATATATATATATATATATATATATATATATATATATATATATATATATATATATATATATATATATATATATATATATATATATATATATATATATATATATATTGTGCTTATTTCGATTTGTATTTATATTATTATATATATATATATATATATATATATATATATATATAACATTATATGGTTTTCATAAAATAAAATTAAATGTATTATATACAATTTATTATTCATAAAAAAAAAACTACTACAAAAATGTCACAATATATACAATTTTCTAGGTAACTTTTTTTCACTTATAAAATAATTATTTGGTATTTAAATATAGAATAAAGATGGCACCACTAATACCAAAACATATTTCATTTGTATAATTTATATGTACAAAACGCATTCTCATAGAGCTACCGGTTTCACATTGGAGTCCGAGTTCGATTCTGTATCGTTTCAGTACATATACCTATATAAAACATATACATATACAAAACTATGTACATTGCTTTGATTGTAACATTTTGAGTTATGCCCATTGATATGTAAGTAAACCAAGATACACAATCGAAGACTAGAAAACGGCACCGAAAACAAAGCGCACTAAACCAAATTATGCACTCATTTCTTATCAACAAGTGATTTGTAGTTAAACATACCGAACTCTTATAAATCTTGTTAATATATATTTTTTTATACCACTGAGGTGGCAAACATACGGCCTGCATATTACCTGATGGTAAGTGGTTTCCGTAGCCTATGAACGCCTGCAATACCAGAGGTATTACGCGCGCGTTGCCGACCCTGAAGAAACCTCTTTACCCCTCTTTTTAAAAATCCCATGCTGTAGTCTCTTGGGAAAACCTCGGCAGGGAGCTCATTCCATAACCTGAGTGTTCGTGGGAGAAAACATCTCTGAAACCGCGTTGTACGCAACCATTTAGGCTGTAGGGTATGAGGATGAACTTTGTCGATGGCGAGCCGTACGATGATAGAAAGTGGACTTCATATATAGCACGTACTTTGTTGGGCATATCGTGTATAGATAAATAGAAAAAAGAGTAATTTATTATATTTACGTATCAGTATAAAAGTATTGAAAAATTAAAAAAAAATATGTCAATATTATTTGTGTGTCTGAAATTGTTATTATTGATCGATGACCCATGAGTGGTATAACAATATAATGACGTCACAGCTTCCTGTGATATTCCTATCGCTGTTCTCGTCTTTAAACGACGGTGACCACTTTCCATCAGGTGAGCCGTCAGTTCTTACCAAGTTATATAAATAACGATATCATAAATCAATGTCCTGTCGCCCGGTGAGGAGGTAACTCCTGGAGTTCTTCGCTGTGAAGATGTACGGCGCCTCCGGGGACGGGCAGCGGAACTCGCGCATCAGTACTGGAGGAACGTTATCCGATTTGTTGCCAACTGGTTCCAGGAGGTTGTTCCACAGAAGGTTCGCCGCTAGAGATTAAAATATTTGTTAAAACACCTGAATAATAATAATAACTTTATTGCATAACCATGATTGTATTTTTTTTATACAACTTAGAATGGCAAACAAGCTGACGGCCCACCTGATGGAAAGTGGTAACAGTCGCCTATAGACATGAGCAGTACCATGGACATAACAGAGTATACTGTTTCGCCCATGATACCCCCCATGCGTTGCTATTCCTGAGGACTCTGGTGTTATTCCTCATTGTACAGCCTGGAAATTGTAAATTCACGAATTCATTTGTACATTTGGATCAGTTTAAACATCTGTGTCTGAACTAGGTTATAAAGCCTGTATCTTTCAACCCTCATTACATAGTATAATAAACACAGCATATAGAATGTTGATTTTATATGCAAACACAACTAATCATGAAAATTTACAGAGAGAGCTTTTACAAAAGTCGTAGAAACACAGTTGTGTTTGCATGGCTGTGACAGAGGTGATTCCCCAAGCAATCGACTTTTGTACAAGTCTCCCTCTGTTGTAAAAAAAAAACTTGTATGAATGATGTCCATGCTCATTACACATAAGGCATACTATAGACACCACTGTGATGTCCATGCTCATTACCTCTTTTCACCAAATGATCAACAGATTGTTCGCCGTTCATTGAATCGTTAAAGAGACGTTGAGACGTTACCCAAAGCGTGCCCCTTCTGCGAGAAATGGAAGCAGTCGTGCGTGATGTACGACTGGTGGATGACGAGCGGCAGCGGAGTCTTGAGTGGGGGCCGCGCGTTGAACAGCTTCATGAACGGCTGCCACACCACCGTGAAGTCGTCGCGAGTGTCGTAGCGACCGCTCTCCACCTGCCCCATATGAAGCGTGATAGTGATATTTCAGATTACTTAAAGAAAGAAGCAGGAAGGAGAAAAAAAGAAGTTGAAGTTCCATATTCGACTATATTTTTGAGAGATTACGAGAAATCTTTACCAATTTTGAATAAGTTTTGAAGATTCTGCTTTAATCAAAAAGCTTTTTCTCATATTGGCCTCATTATTAGTTTTATGAATATTATCACAGAAGATATTCTTTTGAAAATCTTAAACGAATTAGTGATAGAGCTAAGTCTACTTGAAGTTTCATATTGCAAGTGCTGAAACATTAAATATGCGGTTAGTGTACAGAAAAATAGTACCTAATACTCGTAAATCTTGTATGAAGTCAATGAATATAGATGCTACATGGTTATATTGGCGTGAATTTACTGGGTACGGAGGAATAACACCTGAGGCCTCAGGAATGGCAACGCATGGGGGGTATCATGGGCGAAACAGTATACTCTGTTATGTCCATGGTACTGCTCATGTCTATAGGCGACGGTTACCACTTTCCATCAGGTGGGCCGTCAGCTTGTTTGCCATTCTAAGTTGTAAAAAAAAAGGTGTTAGAGTATTAGTCCAGTCAATCTAAAATATCCAAGTAGGCCAGAAGCAAAAGTTGCTGGGACTGCTGCACGCTTCTGCAAGATATTTTATAGATGCCACACCCGACATACACAGACCACCAGGGTATGATGGCTTAAAACCAAGTGATCCGGAGGTAGTTGCCTCCGGAGATGAAAGCGGGGCATTGGGGTACGTGCCGAGGCCCCTACTTCGCCCGTCTTACCAATGGGCGGGACATGAGATGGCCCGATTAATTAATTAAGATTTTTTGATGATAACTTCTTTCTAGTGGATAATGGATAAGGTATAGGATCATAAGATGCCGATGATGGGACAGTGATACTGACCAGCATGGCCTCGGCCTTCTGGTAGAGCGCGGACATGTGCACGAGGTCGTGCAGCTCGCGGCCGCCGCCGCCGCGGTGGAAGCACGCGCAGAACAGCGAGTGCAGCGCGCGGCACATCGCCGATCGCACCACGCGCACCGACACCGACACGTCTGCATCGCCACACGCACCGCGCAGCATGCAACGCGCAACACGCAACGCGCAACACGCAACGCGACACGCAACACACAACAAGAACGTCAATGCTTTCCTCCCTTTTAAATCATATAGCAGTAACTTAGGGGGGAAGGGATTGTTAGTAATACGGATTACCAGTTCCATTACTAGCAATATACTCTGTCAGGTCGATCTTCACGTGGTCCCTTCTAGAAACCATCGTGCTGAATTCCACGTATTCATCACGATGGGCTAATTGACCTGTCTTTTCATTTTCACCTATCACCCGTCACTGGTACCTCATCAGTATAGCGCAGATATAGATGGTTTCCATGGGGAACCACGTGGAGGTCAACCTAATAGGGCATATTTCTAACAATGGGGCTGTCAAACTCCATCGCTAACAATCCCTTTCCCCTATATATTCCCGATTTTGCATATGAACATTTTAAAAAATAAATGCATATATTCCTTTCTCTATGGACTCAGTTTTCTGAACAAATGTTAACAAATGGGAAAACAAGATTATCGAATTAAGAATTCGTGATTGGACTTACCCAACACTGGCACTAGGTTGACGATTGTCCTGGGAAGGTTTGCGTGTAGGTAGTCTAGCGCTTTGGACAGCTTCCTCGCGTGCGCGGACGGTGACCACGCAATGGGAGAAGTGCACGACGCCGAACAGATGTCGTTGTCTCCGAGGAACACCGTCACCATCTTCCAGTGCCTCTCAATGTCGATATCCGGTGATGCTCGCATGCGAGCCACGATTATCTGGAAGATGGAGATTACATTTGTTCATTAAATTAAATAATTTATTTCGCAAAAACATGGGTAGATAACCTGCATACATAATTGCATACAGCCATGTGGTCCCGGCATAGAATAGGCCACCACTTTCTATCCAGTGGGTGTCGTAAGAGCTGACTAAGGGAGAACAAGTGATGGGCAGTAGCGTCTCTCTTTAAATATCTCTAAAGACTAACTGCGGTTGCCAATCCGCCTACCAAGCATGGCAATTACTGTCAAAACCCCCCCTAAGGGGCAGGCTTATGTTGAACAGTGAACGGTTAAATGCTATGATGATGAAGCATAGTACTTTTATATTTAATTTTAACGATTGCTGTTATATTTAGTCTCTTCTGAAATCAAAGGTAGTCAAGGTGACGAAGAAATTGGTGGACATACATAAAAAAATACAATCCAACATATAACCCTTTTTTAAGTCGGTTAAAAAGCATAATATATAACAAAATAACGTAATGGGATAAAAAATTTGCAATTAAGTTAAAAATGTACTTTATGAATAAAACATTATACGTTAAATGAATTACCAGAGGGAGACTTTGTACAAAAGTCGATTGCTTGGGTACCTCTGTCCCGTGTTTCTACCGTAAAGCAGTTGTGTTTGCATGGCTCTGTTTCGGTTTGAAGGGTGGGATATGGCGTGAATTTACAGGGTACAGAGAAATAACACCTGAGTCCTCAGGAATGGCAACGCATGGGGGGTATCATGAGCGAAACAGTATACTGTTATGTCCATGGTACTACTACATGGTAGGCGACGGTTACCACTTTCCATCAGATGGGCCGTCAGCTTGTTTGCCATTCTAAGTTATATAAAAAAAAAATATTAGGAAACCCTTCACAAACCCTTTCTTTCCCTAATAAATGAATACGGAACAACAAAGTTTATAGTTCATGGGTGGATCTTGGCCAATCTGAGATTACATAACGATGTTAAATTTGTTATAGGTTCCACTCACATATCAAAGGGTGTTGTAATTTGTAGGCATCTTTAAAGTAATTTATTCGTAATTTGCATTATAATGTGTTTTTAAAACTCGCCCTTTTACTTGTGATTACGATGACTGCGTTAGTATTCGATTATAATTTGGTTGTTTGCTTGCCGTCTAAATATTGCATGTGTTTTAGTTTGTATTTTTATATATACATGACATACGTCTATAGACATGAGCAGTACCGTGGACATAACAGAGTATACTGTTTTGCCCATGATACCCCCTATACGTTGCCATTCCTGAGGACTCAGGTGTTATTCCTCTGTACCCAGTAAATTCACGCCATATCCCACCCTTCAAACCGAAACACAGCCATGCAAACACAACTGCTTCACGGTTGAAACACGAATGGTACAGAGGTACCCAAGCAATCGACTTTTGTACAAAGCCTCCCCCTGGTAAATGTACCTACGTTGTAAAGTTATATTAAAAGTCATAAGATGTTCAATTCGTTTGTATTTTTTATTTGTATATATTATGTCCACGGTACTGCTCATGCCTATAGGCGACGGTTACCACTTTCCATCAGGTGGGCCGTCAGCTTGTTTGCCATTCTAAGTTGTATAAAAAAAAATATTATAATATAATATTATTATTATGGTCGAAGGATGGTTAGCAGCAACCTTTTAAAACATCACCAAAGCCTTACTGGGATTGCCAACTCGCGTGCCAAGTTTGGCAACTACTGGCAAAACTACCTTTAAGGCCTATATTCAGCAATAGCTAATATAATAATAATGCGAAATCTTTACTATTTCTAAACCGATTTTAATAAATATTTTTGCAACATTTTATAAATATATGTTTATTCGTAGTGATTACATATTAAATTTGTAAAAATTAAAATTGTTTTTTCTTTTGTAGAGCAAAATCTACTTATATTATTAGCGTAACTATTGGTATACCTTGGCTTGTTTAAGCGCATCTTCGTCCGATGCTACGGGGAAGGCGACATTAAGCCGTGCGTTCTTTGAGAACCACTCGCCTGTTCCCGTGGAATAACCTCGCAGCTCAGGGTTGAACTCCTTTAAGATATTCGGTAGTGTGAGGTACTCTCGCCACGTTTTATCCCCTCCTGGAAATTGGTATATTAACAAAATTAGAAGCATATCAATTTCACATTTCAGATTATTAAATTATTTCAAAAGAGAGATTGAAGACGTCTTCCATTCCCATGTATGTATTTTTCGTGAGTATATGTGACGACTTTGACGATTATTTTATTCTTACAATGTTGTCTTTTTATAATTTAAATAAGCTGATGGAAAGTGGTAACCGTCGCCTATAGACATGAGCAGTACCATGCACATAACAGAGTATACTGTTTCGCCCATGATATCCCCCATGCCATTGCCATTCCTGAAGACTAAGGCGTTATTCCTCTGTACCCTGTAAATTCATTGCCATATCCCACCCTTCAAATCGAACCATAGCCATGCAAACACAACTGCTTTACGATTGAAACACAAATGGGACAGAGGTTCAATAGATAATTTCATCCCAACTATCAGTTATATAATGCTGAATATATACTATCTTCGTCTGAAAGGCTTTTTACATTTAGCGAGTTTTTTAAGACTCTATTGCTAAGTAATATACTCTAGTCTACTTCCACGCGCTCCTTTTGGAAATCATCGTGGTGAATTCGTCTAGATGGGCCACATGACTTGACTTCATTCTCACCTGTTATCACCTATTGGAATCACTTGTTCGTCATTGGTACCACGTCATTGGAAACCAATAGGTGCAGACAGGGTTACCATACATTCAATTTATTCAATTAAATAACAGGAGTTATTATTCTGTTTTCATTGAATTATTATATAAAAATAAAAAACAATAAAATATAAGCTCTGGATACATTTTATTAAATTTAGATTTGCAATCATGACGTCATAGCATGTATATCAAGCACCATTTTAATCTCTAATGATAAGAAAATATCCAACATGATAATACGTAGATAAGACCTTGAAAACATACCTGCACACCAAGAAACACCCCTATGCTCGATCAGAGCCCCCAACGCGTACTCCTCCAATGCTCCATTGCCTGCTATGAGTGAGTCTCCCAGGGCTGCCACCACGTCGATGTCTCCAGGTCGCAGTCGGTGCACTGATGTGGGTGGTTGGGGACTACGGCCCCATCGGACGGCGTCCTCACACGGAAACGGAGTCGACGCTGGGATGGTCCGCTGGCGACGCACGTGTGACTTGTGCGCCGGGTAACGGAGGAACCGCTGTAAAAGTGATGTTTATACATTTAAACTAACTGTATTCGACAATTTCGCCCGCGTGATATAACCTATCTGTTTATCAAATGTCATTCTCATCTATTCAGTAGTTTTTGCGTGAAATAGTAACTATTTTAGTAATATTGTTTTGCTTTATATTGCTTTTGTTTTGTTATTATATATTAAGCTAAAAGGTGTCTCGTCAAAATTTATAACTTTTTAATTATTATAGATGTGTGTATATATGCGTGTGTATGTGTATGTGTATATATATATATATATATATATATATATATATATATATATATATATATATATATATATATATATATATATATATATATATATATATATATATATATATAAAAACCGATCAATTGTGTCATTACGCAATTGTGAAAACGATTCATGGCTTAACATAGATATAAATTTGATTATGTATTGACTGTAATTCAATTGTACGTTTTCCAAAAAATAAATAAATAAACATCCATCACACTGTGACACTTACAGCATTAGCTGAGCCAGTTGCCTATTCTGAGATATATTACTATATTTTGTGGCAACAAATATTTTTCTATTCTATTCTATACAAACTTTCGCATTTACAATAGTAGTGGCACTTAGGGGTGGGTAATATATTATAGCAATATTTATATATTTTAGTTACAATAACTATATACTGGTCTAATAACGAATATGTTAAGAGTCTGTTACTCAAAAAAAGCACTGGTTAACAGACTTTTAACATATTCGAAAATAGATAATCGACGAATATGGGCGATATCGAAATGGGTGATGACCTTTTTCCGCCGTCAATGTCCAGAGAAACCTAATATATAAATATCGAATTGATATTACCCATGCGTACGTTCTACCTTTAAGGCTACTACCCTAAACGTAGACGTGATCTACGTGTATAGTTCGAAAACTCTGCAAGCTAAAGTGGCAATGGGCCGGCCATATAAATAATGTAACTGATATGAGTAATTAACAGATAGGAAAGAAAAAAATTTAAGTGGCGACTCCGTGAAGTCAAGTGTAGTGTTGGGCGAACCCCTGGAAGATGGAATAACAAAGGAGTCAATGTAAACGGTGCAATTATGTACGAATAAACGGGCATTATTTTACGCGTTTATTGCTCACGTGTGTAAAGTCCGATCAAAGTATATGTTAATGTAATATATAATACATGATTATGATCCTTACAAAACTTCATTCAAATTCATATAAAGTGGTTGCACTTTAATATCATTACACCATAGTTGCTATAACTGTAAGCACCGAAGGCATAATTCTCGGTAGTAAGTCAACAAATACACAATTCCTCATATCGCAACGAAAATACCGACATAAGAATACACAGGTAATTGTTCTTGATAGTGTGTTACAGTAATATTACACAAAAATTCTCTGTAACATTATAAGAGACAGTTTATCTCGTATTAATCTCAGTTTAACTCGTCAGGGGTGTTCTTCTCCATAGGTCGCTGGTTCATATCCGGCTCGAAGGACCACTTATTATGTTTGTAATATATGCTGGTTCTTGTTGTATATAGGTATTATTTATTATTTATATTAATTGTAAAATAAAATTGCCGTCTGTTGACTTGAAGTATATTATGTATTTTTTTTGTTCTATTTCAATTGTTTATATTTTTTTCTTTTTTATAAAAAAACTACAAATGTCATCGTATGTAAAAAGGTTAATTTTAAACAGGGCATACGGGTATGCGACCCCGGCCTCCCGAGCCGCTGCAGTGTCCCAGTCCTTTCCGCAACTGTAGTGTCACCTTCTCCTTTCCTTTCCCACATTTTTCCCTTATTCCTTTCATTCACCAATTTCCTTTACGCATTTCCAACGTTCCCTTCCTTTTTTCCTCAATCCTTTCCTCTATACCGTAGGTGGCGGAAACCATCAACAAATGAATTCCCAAAGAGGGTTGACGTCAGGCAGGCGGCCGGTCGTAAAACTAAAAACCAAATCTTTTTGTAATATGAATAAAATCATATTACGCCGACCCTAAATGATTGGGATAAGGGTAGGAAGAAGATGATTATAAGAGACAGTTTATCATCATCACAATTACTAACGTCCCACTGCTGGGCACTGGACTCTCCTTAATTGAGTGCAAAGCAATAAGATTGCTATTTCCCATAGCTAACAATCATAACCAAAATATGTAGGGAGGAAAGGGATTGTTAGCAATGGAGTTTGACAGCCCCATTGCTAGCAATATGCCCTATTAGGTCGACCTCCACGTGGTTCCCCCTAGAAACCATCGTGAACAATTCTTATTGAATTCGTCATGAAGCTAACTGACCTGCTTCATCCTCACCTATCATCCTTCACTGGTGTCCCACCGGTGTATATCGATAGCGCGTGAGGGGTTACCATTCCATTATCATACATTAAAAGAACCAAAATTTGTATACTATGTATGTATTGTATGTATTGGTAACCACTTACCATCCGGTGGGCCGTATGCTTGATTGTCACCTCAGTGGTATAAAAAAGAAACAATTCGCCGCACTACGACGTGAGTATACAAATTAAACTTGCGTTCAAACAAGGTCGCGTGTTCATTGCCGCGTCCTCAACAGTTTTCCAGGCCGTGCCGGTATATTGCGTCTACGCGCGGACGTACGCACGCGTGAGGTGCAACAGTTGCAATCTTGAATATAAATGATACAAGTTATGTCATTGGCGACAACTTTGTAACGCGAGGGAAATAGGTTCGAGGAAAGTATTCGCTATTGCAAAGCTTAGGACTCATTAATTCCTAGTGGAACTCGTAAACAAGCGTTGGTTTGTAAGTAGCGGCACGCACGTTCGAGAATTACCATATTTGTGATTGATATGGAATTCATATAGGTTGTTTTTCATGCAACTAGGAATTATAAACACGCTGATGGCTCACCATAACCGTGACATGTAGTGCTAAATAGTTCCATCATTAAATATACTATGATACCCCATGAGTAGCCATTCCAAAAACTATATGTAGCAGATAGACCGTCATATCAGCCGTTACCTGTCCACTGTTGAACATAAGCCTTCCCCAGAAGGGGAGTTTTGTCAGTAGTTGCCACGCTTGGCACGCGAGTTGGCATCCGCAGTTAGGCTTTTAGTGATGCTTTAAGAGAGAAGTTACAGCCCAGCTCTATACCATTAAATACCTTTAGTCGTCTCTTATGATACCCTCGGGAAAGGAAGGGGTGGCTTGTTCTATGCCCGGACTACACGACGGTTAGAATAGATAGATATTTATTTATTTATTTATTTGAAAATTACTACACTTACAGTCTCCCAAAACACATAGTTTTATTTTACAAACTTACAAATGTTGTACAACATTTTAAAAATATATCCATTTTGTCATTAAATATGTCAATAAAAAATAGATACAAATCTCACAACAATAGAAATAAATACATACACAAAAAAAGAAAGAATATAAAAAAAGATATAATTATAATACTTTAAGTGCTGTTATTACAAAATTATTGTATACATAATAAACTCAATGCTAAACATGGCAAGTACTAAGAAAATCTTATTACAGATTTTCATAGGAAACTGTACATTAGATTTTTTTTATACAACTTGGAATGGCAAACAAGCTGACGGTCCACCTGATGGAATGTGGTAACCGTCGCCTATAGACATGAGCAGTACCATGGACATAACAGTATACTGTTTCGGCCATGATACCTCCCATGCGTTGCCATGCCTGAGGATTCAGGTGTTATTCCTCTGTACCCAGTAATTTCACGCCATATCCCACCCTTCAAACCGAAACACAGCCATGCAAACACAACTGCTTCACGGTTGAAACACGAATGGGACAGAGGTACCCAAGCAATCGACTTTTGTACAAAGTCTCCCTCTGGTCTGAGATGAATTATTAAAGTAACAAATTTAGATCTACGCTATCAATTGAACATCACTATTATTGATTACTTCGTAATGTTCATACATTTATTCAAATACATTTCTCAACCACTTTGTAAAATGTAATTAACAGCATTGATTTCAAAAGAGCTGTTTTCTACAAAGTATATAGATTTAAATAATTCTGTTTATTTAAATTATATTCTGTAAGTTGTTATTAAACTATCGACGAGTTGCCCTTGGGATAACGGCAACGTCACGATCTCGCCGTTTTCCAAACCAACTTAAAAAAAGAAGGAAGTTATCAATTCATTTATATTTTTTTGTATGTTTAATTATCAGTTATAATTCAGAAAATCTTTTTTCATATGAAAGGATATACTTTTAGATAAGTATTATAGAAATTTTATCAAAATCGTTTCAATAGTTTAGTTTTTAAATCAAAATGGTTTTATCACTATTAAAGTATATTTTCTTTGTGTAATCCAATATTCATTATTAGTACACTAGTTCTTATCGGCGACTTTGTTTGAGTGACCAGGATATGCTCACTGACCGGAGTAATTTAAGTAAACTATATCAGTTTATGTCCTTTTCTATCTTATACGTTTATATCAAATTTCATAGTGATTGGTTAAGCTGTTAAGGTGCTAGGAGGTAACAATGAAACAAAATAACAAACAAAGTCATTCACACATTTATTATATTAGTAAGGATTAAATTTCAGATTTAAAATATTCACATTTTTGATTAATAATTCTTTTGTATTTGTATCCGGGTGTAAATCATTTGATGTAGCATGAGAATCAAATTTAATTATAATAATTTGATATTTTAGATTATAAATGTCATATAATGAATATTATAAGGTCAGCTAAGCTGTTGCACGTTGACTTATCGGAAAACATATATATATATATTATTACCTTACATTATAAAGATAGAGCATCGAGTCTCAAAAACAAAACAACATTTTTTTTTTTCATTTATTTGGGAAAACCAACAGTGACAAAATAAAGAATAATACATAATATTAATCAAAGAAAACATTGAGTAAATTTGCCACCAACACCGTTTACCACAGTCACGATTCAAGTATAATACAAATAGC